CACTTTACGATGGGTAAATAATCTCGTGTTTTAAGCCTAGCCCTACAGCTAAAACGAAACCAAACCTTAACCCTTACCATAATCCTGACAATAACTCTTGCTAGGAGTTTAGCCTGACCAAATGCTAGCAACATTGTAGGCTCTACTGAGGCGTAGTGCTCGCCACAATGTCTTTGTGTCTTCGCTCCGACCGCCTTCACTCGATGACCTTAAAGGCTGGACTGCAGACACCTGGGCGCAGTTCCTTAAGGGCCAATTGGTCGCATGAAATTATCCCAATGCCGCTAATGATGCCACAAGCCAACGCGCTTGACAATCACTTAAAAGCCACTGTCACCTCTCAAACAGAGAGTTGCAACACGGACTGTGAGGACACCGTCAGTGCGCTTCCAATGCCGGGGTTCGTCCCGAAGCGGGGGCATTCAGCGCGCTGGAGATCAACCAGCGGCAAAAGCCACCCGAGAAAGCAACTTCGGGTTTTGTACACAATAAACCCTCTTCCAAAGTTACCCCCTTCTTATTGTGTTCTTCCTTGGGAATTCCAACGGGCGTAACTAGACGGTGACACCGCAGAGTGCTACCGTTGTAACATACACCTCTGACATAAATACTTTTTGGCTTGTGCGGCTGACAGGTTGGTCCCCTTAACCACGCTCGAAGTTTATCACTGATGAGAGAAACTAGTAAATTATGATGTTGTGAATGCAAGACAAGAAGTTTGCTGAATTAAGAAGTTTAATCACACTGTATAGACAGTGACAGAAAAAAGATCGATTGGGAAAGTTTACTCTCATTTCAAGGAAGACGTCGATAACTTCTGTTTTCTGCAGCACATAACTTCAGTTACACGAAATTGTACTAAGCCAATGCAGCCACTCTTATAGCCCCGTCTTCGGCGAGGCAAGACGCAGGTCTTTGTTAGTTTCAGTTGGAGCATTATGTTATAAATAAATTTTAAATTTAAAAAAAAGTTTTAAGAAATTCTGGAAATTTGGAAGCAGTTTGTTTTAGGTAAATGTTAGGGGACTCTGACTCTGGTTGGCGAGGGGATAAATAACAGACGGGACCTAGGTAAGAAGATTAGGCACATTCCAAAGTGGTTTCCAAGGGCTCGGTGGCATCAGCGGCCTTAGCAGCTTGCAGAAGCGTGTCGCCAGCCTGGTTATAGACGCAACGTACAAAACTTTGCATAGCAGACTGCAGACGTTCTGAGGTAGCATACCGTGCGGCTACCGAGGTCAACTGCAACACCTCGGGAACAAGGTATTGATCAAGCAGGACGGAGGGAGTGTTCAGATCCGCAGTCACATCAGAGAGCTCCTCGATTAAGATGGCGCGTTTGTCAGGGTCCTCTTGGAGATGTTGTCCATGGAGAAGGGGCTTGACAAGGGCTTCTGGACCTTGTCATTAAATAACGATAAAGAAATGGAGAAAGACAACTGCATTCACATCGCAACTCTAGTTAAGTAATTAATTTAAATTACCCTACTATCAAATAGACTAGTAGCAAAAAATGTTTTAGACAAGAGATAACACGGGAATGGCCATCCCCTATATTACAGGTTCAGGGAGGCATCTCTTCCCTTGTTCTAATGTTAACCCTAACCAAACACCAACATAAGGCCTCAAAAATCCTAGTTTAACAATAACCCGGACCTTTAGCTCCTGGAATTTATTGCGTGGTCCTCCGTAATACGGTGGGGGTTATTTATTCCCGAGGTGGCCACTCCTTTGGAACAACAGAGCTATACACCAAGGACAAATTCAAAGAGTTATCGAAGTGCTTAAATGAAAGACAGGGTTCACCAATTTCAGAAATTTATAAGTCATTCAGCTTCAGGTAACACTGGACGTACCTAAAATCTTTCTTATCATCTCGCAAGCTTCTCTAGCCAAACTCGCGACGCCAGGATATGGACAAGCCAGGTGGTTAGCTAAAATATCCATCACAGCGGTGAACCCTTCAGCATCTTCGTGAAAGAAAAGGAGCGCAAGAAGACCAGGTGGAAACCTTTCTCCATCAAATTCCGCTTTCTGGGCCGCATTCACACCGGAAGTAAAAAGGTCATCGGCAGTTGCGGGAACGTCGTTCGCGTTCCCTGTGG